GGCACTAGGTACGTTATTTTTATTGGTTTGTTATATTGTTGTTTATTTCAAACAAGAATGATATTTAATTTTCCTTTGTAGAATATGATCGAAAAAACCAGTGGAGAGTTGAAGAATGCACCAATTCAATTGCTGTTCGATAGAAAAGTTCACAAAAAAACACGCGACACGTTTTTGTAACTAAAACAAGTTTTTATTTCTCTTTTTAAAAACGAAAACTAGCCGCAAGCAAGTCCGTTTGATAGAAATCCGTGTTTACAAAACTTCTGCCCAGTTAATTAAATCTTTGTTAACCAAACAATTTATATACTGGTGCTTAACTTCTTTTAAAAATTGCTGATGTTCGCCGAAACTTTCCGATGAATATATGTTTGACTTTGGGTCTTTCCAAGATTCAGAAAGCACAAAAAATTATCAATTATACTTCGTGTACGGTCTGTAGAATTCCCAAATCAACATACTTATTTATCAACAACGATTGTTATATTTGTTGTCAGGACATCAACGTAATAATAAACTAAATCGCAGTTGTAAACTTTGAAATTAAATGGGACTTGTTTTTCCAGAAATGGCTATTGTTTTTTAGGAACTGTGGCAAATTTGTGAAGAATGACATCACAAACAACCGACATTTTTGACTTTTGACCTTAAATACATTTTTCAGCACACACCGGTCCCGGGGAACTTTTGATATTTCATTCATGGCAGTGTATTTAAGATCTACAAAAATTTTCAGCACTATGCGAATTACTGCTTGCTTACCACTCACTACTTGTCGTTTTGACCGGACTATCCCGAGAAACGCTTCTCGGTNTTATGTTTGATGTGAAGTATGATGGGGTGTTCCGGGGTTAGCTTCGTTATTGCCTCCAGTGTACTCAGTGAGTCGGTAATTACCAAGAATTTTGAGTGATCGCTTTTCTCTGCATATTCAAGTGCTTTCCATATGGCATAAAGTTCTCCTGAGAATACAGTGCTTTCTGCTGGTAGTTTGAAGGAGTGATTGGAGGCAGTACTGGTGAATGAACAATGAACAATTGAAAAACAATATTCGACAAATTATTGTAGACAGAACGTTCATCAAATTTTTCTCGTTTCAACCAATCCGCCATTCATCGCAATGCACTTGTCATACCTCCTTCCAATATTCAATATAACTTTTCTCAGTTGTTCTGTTATAATTTCTGTACAAGCTGCAGACATTCTGATGCGTAGTTCTTCTACTGACTGCGGTTTGGACTCGTAAACTTTTTGCTCCACAGTACCCCAAAGAAACAAATCTAGCGGTGGCAGGTCCGGTGATCTTGGTGATCTTGTAAGGACCTATCCATCGTTTTCCATAACTGCATTATGTACAGCAGAACCATCTAACTGAAACTTCAAATTCAGGCGATCCCGCATTGGTAAGTTATGTATTGCGTCCCGAAACTCTCTAAAAGTCTTAAAATATGAATCGATCCAGATTTCTTTCGAAGAAAAACGGACCGATAATCCTATCATGAGTTATTCCACACCACACATTTATTTTTTGGGGATATTGTCTTTTTGCGTTTATAACCCGATTAGGATTATCCGCAGACCAGTACCTTGAATTTAGGGACGTTTATATCATTCAAATATTCTCCTTGAACCCAGAATTCTAACCTTCATAATAATCATAACAATCGAAAAATGACAGTTCATGACAGATACATGTTCATGACAGATATTGTAACGAATTTGAAGCCGCCCCTGACCGATATGCCGGCCAAACACATGACATCACCGCAAAAGGAATGCAGTCGGCAACTGCCGGTAAAACCGACTACAGATTTCTAGAAAGAACCGTTACAATATACATAAGCCCGTGAAGTGAATCGAGAGGTTAAACAAGAAATTCAAATAGTGGAAATTAATTAGGCGTTAGTTGCTAAGTGTTGTAAATAAATTAGTTGGTGATTAGTGAAATATTGTTGGAAATAAATTTGTTCAAGACAGTTAATTCATTAATTTGTTAGAATATATTGAAAGTTCATTAATTTTTAACGTTTTTTGTAAATGGTTGATTTGTTCATATTCGAGGCATCTTCAAAAGAGTTTCAAATTTCATACTTTAATTCAGAGTTTTTTTTGAATTCAAATCATTATGAGTAGTTGTCATGTTGAAAAAATTAGTTTCGGAATTTCAAAATTCTGGTAAATAACGCTGAACAAACGTGAGATTGGCGGTTATATCACTCCTAATTTNGTATTTTATTGTTTTTCAAATTATTCGGCTTTAAGACACCCTTTTGCACGTGTTTAGAGCAACTATCAATACTAAAAATGAAAGAACGTCTGAGTCAGCAATTGATTTTTCTGAACACTAGTAATAGTGCCAAGGTTCCACTGCCTTGTCAACACAAGAGTTGGCAGTTCATTAAAAAATGTGTAGTATTTGTTTTAAATATTTTTGAAATTATTCACCTTTAAGTTTAATACACTTTTTCATGTGTTCAAACTTACTCGTACTGTCACTGCTAAAATATAAGAGAAAGCAAATATTTCTGCTCTTCTCTTGAACACTTTAGATATTGCTAAGTTTTCTTTAATTGTAAACACATGGATTTGCAGTTCATTGAAATTTGTGTATCTACAACGGCCACTTTTCCAAGTTTTTATAAAAAGTAGAAAGCAAACTTTGGTACCTACTAACAGTTTTAGTACTCTTAAAAGTGTAGTACAGTTAATTTAGGAATACAATGGTAGGTATCTATATAGGTAAGAAATCTGTACGAGGCCTGTTGAAAAAAATAAGGTGACATTTAATTTTTCCTAAAAAATATTTATTTATTCACTGATTTCTATTTTGTCCCCTCCAAAGTCGTATCCTTGGATATAATACACTTGTATCCAGGTTCTAAAAGTCGTGTCTACTTGTGTATCATTTGGTATTTAATATATGTACATATATATGATTGTGTTTTAATTATTATTAAGTTATTATCGTGATTAAAATTATAAATTCCATTCAGCATATCAATTATTTATATATGACTGTGCTTTAATTAGTATTATCGATTTTCTTCATTTTGTTCCTCATTAGTATTTTAATGTTCATTATGTGATTACCTGTCGGATATAATCCAACGCCCTTCGTGGTATTAGCCAGGGGAGTAGTTGTTTTCTGATAGGTGTCAGTCCATTAACCTACTGTGTAGGGTGTTGAGACTGGCCTGAACGAATTGTTCTTTTAGATGATTTGATTTATAGCCAGTCTTCAAGTATGCCCACTGACTATACGTGAAAAATTATTATATTGTTTTTATCAACTCAATCGTCGCAAAACGCCGTCCTTTCATGTGTCTCTTCAATTTTTGGAACAGGAAAAAGTTGCAGGGGGCAACTTCTCTAATAGTGACTTGACAATTCTCTATAACAATTCTCTTTACTTTCTTAACATTTTCATCGGTTGTTGATGTGCATTTGTCTGATTCAGAGTACAATCACTGTCAATGTTTCAAGTTTTCATTCAAGTTCTTTTATCCATTTTTTTTCAAACTTGTATTGGTCTCGCCAAAACAACACCGTAATCATGCCTCAGCCTCCATATTCACCAGATTTGACCCCCTGCGACTTTTTGCTGTTCCCCAGATTGAAGACACCCATGAAGGGACGGCGTTCTACGATGATTGAGTAGATTTAAACCGAATCACCGAGAGAGGTCAAGGACATACAAAAAACTGCTTCGAGGATTAGAGAAAACGCTGTCACAAGTGTATTATATATGAGTGGGACTACTTTGAAGGGACAACATATGAATTGATGAATAAATAAATGTTTTTGAGAAAAATTAAATTTCACCTTATTTTCTGAGGACCTTGTATATATATCTTTTGACAGAGGAGCATGAGTTAGATCATGACTATAACGTACTTCATTTGAAAGAGAACTTTTGAAACTCAATCTTTTGGAGCGCTTGGAAATTATTGCATAAATTGAAAAATCAAAAAATTTACTGAATGACCAAAAGAATCGAATAGATTTTTTTGTAATCTGGAAATTGGCAATCAGTTGATACGTAAACCTAGATAATTATTATTTATTACATGTTCATTTTCGGTCCGCCTTTCACTTATACAACATCTATATATCGATTTGCTGTATTTATTTTAGTTTGTTATGGCCAATAAAGACGTATTATTATTATTATTTGAATGCGTTCCTGAAATTTATTTCCCAATATAAAAATTGGTAAATAATTAGTTAAAACTTTCAGGTAAGTAGAATGTCATATAATTCAAATTGTGAATTTATATAAAGCACTATTTAGGTAGAATTTAGTTAGTGTGAACCCGCCTGAGGATGTTATTGTATAGTCAAATACGTGTATCGGTTTTGTAAATTATTAGTTAGTTTGAATTTGCGTCAGAAAGTTTACACAATTGCCTCTTATTGTATAGATTGTTTCGAACTAAAAGTGATAAATGATAAAAAGTATCAAACACATAATTATTATGACTTTCATTTTTGATATCGACCGTTTTCTTCATTAGGTATTCCGCAGACTCGGTAAAAGATACATTTTGTAAATAAAATAATTATTTAATTTCCTTCCATTGGTCAGTTTCACCAGCATAATTTTAGGTAATCTATACGTACAGTAAAATTACAAGATATAGATAGGCAGTCCCTGTTTTTTCCAAATCAATCTACCTTACCTATGCACCTAAATTTCTCTTTCATTTTAAAAGTTTTCATTATTTCAAAGTAAATCAATCATTAATTGTAATGCCTTCTCAATTTCACACCCAGCTGAACCGAAAACCGTGAGTTTTTGAAAGAATAAAGCGTCAACTCCGGCCTACGAAACGATGACAAACAAGAAACGAAAACAACCTAAAATAATGATTTGGTTTATCAAACCAAAGCGATCCGTATGCTAGTCCAATTTTTATTTGCACAACAAACAAATGGTCCTGCGCATAACAAATAAAGACACGTGTGGAGATAACCACGAACAATTGCATGTGGGTACTTACCAGTGCAACCAGATGATGTTGACAACTATATTTGGTCGATTTGAATCTTGAACCCAGCGAGCCGCAGTTCTTTGTGAGGGATGCTTACGGATATGGATGACGTTCGCAGTGGCCCCTCGTATCGCCGATAAAAAGTTATCGACGAGGTCGGGTTTGACAAATAGACAAACTAGGGGTATCTAACGGCAATAACAAGAACTTACCAACTACCAATTTTTTTCAATTGATAGTTTTCTTTACGTTCACTTAGTACATGTTCATATTTTTGATAGCAGGTGGCGCTCAAATCGAGCCAGCAAAACAAAGGGACGAATAGGAATAACAGAGAGTTCCAATCAGTGACGGCTCGTGCATTGGAGAACAGGTGTATTTTGTAATTTTGGATAGAAAGGAAAAAAATAACAAAAACTAAAAGTAAACATAAAATTCGTTCTTAACCAAGACGATATAGCTATTGCTATATTTTGTTTGCTAAACAATTTTAATTTAAAAGACGAAAATATATGCTCCTTTAAAAATGTATTTCTGTAGAACGAGGTAAATTTTTTAAATCGGAGTATCCTATTTTAGACCACGTTTGGTATTCGGTTTGTACGGAAAATAAAACAAAGGGCCAACAAAAAATTTTTTCTCGTTTGATGGAACCGATTAACCAATCGCATTTATCGTACCAACTAATATTAAATCCTCGATTTTGTCGATTATCTGACGCTTTAATTGAAATCAAATTTGGTTGAGGAATTTATTGCGATGAATAGCCTCAAATTTTATGGGGAGGCTAAGCCTCTCTTGCCTTCTCTGACGAGCCGCTGCTGCTAATGAATATTAGCTGAACTTTTCTTCACTTTTCTCGGTTATTGGGTACTTGCATATCTTCTAAAGTAAGTAACGCTCTAATCAATTGAGTTAAACTGAAAGAACCATCTGAATCTTTTTGAATGTGAAATTCCAGATTTTTTAATTTCACACTTTGTGAAAGACGGCGTTTTTGGTCTTCAATTAAAATATCTGAAATCGTTGGTGTTTTGTAGAAGTAAATTTCTGAAACTTTTCATCTATTTAAAAATAAATTTTCTCTTATTCAAGTAACAGAATAAAGTGTTACGTAGGCATCAAAAAATTCAATTCAATCGAGGAGTTAAATGATCACTAGCGTAATGATGGTGCCTAAAATGAACCTATAATTATTGCAAGATCCAAATTTTCAAAAAGTGAAGGATTTCGATTTGTTTCTGCCAACTCAACGGTTAAGATAGCATTCATTTGAAACCACAACACCATATCAGTGCTTTTTTTGCCAAAGTAACACAAGTAGATTATTTCCGTCAGCATAAACTTTGGGGGCTTCGGATTCGATGAAGTAGACGAAGGTTGTTTTTGCCTGGTCCTGATTGGCGAAGGTTCCACCACTGAGAAAGTTATCGGAGTGTTTGAAAAGATGGTAGTTGGTTTGGTGAGAGGTCTGAGGAATATGGTGACTGAGGCAGAACTTCGATGGTCAATTCGATCAGTTTTCGGACGGTGATTTGTGAAACGTGAGTGTCATGGAGCAGGATCGAACCTCTTTTGTTGAAGTGCCGGCCGCCGCTGGCACAGTTCTCGTTACATTTCATCACAGTAGATGAACTATGTCGGTTCTGTGGCACAGCCAATTCAACTAACAGACGCAATGAAGTACGTTTTGCGTGCGTTTCCGAAAGTTTTTCGTACGTTCTTGAACGTTTTTCGTGCGTTTTCAACCGTTTTGCGTGCGTTTTCGACCGTTTTCCGTGCGTTTTCAATCTGCGACGCAAAATGTTCAACCGTTTTGCGTGCTTTTTCCGTGCGTTTTTGAACATTTTGCGTCGCAGATTGAAAACGTACGGAAAACGGTCGAAAACGCACGCAAAAAGGTCGAAAACGCACGCAAAACGGTCGAAAACACACGCAAACGGTCGAAAACGCACGCAAAACGGTCGAAAACGCACGCAAACGGTCGAAAACGCACGCAAACGGTTGAAAGCGCCCGCTAAATGGTCGAAAACGCACGCAAAACGTTCTTCATTGCGCCTGTTAGTTGAATTGGCTGTGCCACAGAACCGGCATAGTTCATCTACTGTTACATTTCATCACAATAGGACTCTAGTGTGATAATTTGGCCCGGTTGCTGAAAGTCATAGTGAATAACACCAGCCGCTGACCACCATAGAGTAACCATGGCCTTTTTTGGTGAGTTTTGACCTTTAGAAAGTGCCTGGGTATCTCATCGATGCCCAAACAATGCCCTGAACATCTACTGTTGTTGTGGTGAATCCACTTTGGTTGCGCAAAAGCAAAGAAGAACAGACCTCGAAACGTGACAATTTCAGTAATTTCATATAGTGATAAGAGACTCTCAATATCAAAGTTTGGTGTGAAATTGATCTGGATTGAGCACCTGCTCATAAATTTAGAGGTATTTATAAATTTTCATTAATATAATTTATGAGGAATGCTATGCTGAAATGAAATGAAATGAAAGTATTTGAATTCAATAGAAGGTAGAAGAATGTAATGAAGAATTATAAATTTTATCTAAAGAAATGTATAATATAATCAATGTCTCAATGTTCCTACTATAAGTATAAATCTGAACAAAACAATTCTAGCTAAAAACTGGATACATCTTCCTGCAGCTTTTATGAAATATTAAATATCCAGATGAAAAACAGTCATTGCTCTTTGCATTTCCTTTGCCTCATCAGGTATTTTCCAAGGAAGTACAAGCCAACGTAAAAAATTGGCACACAATGGTAGACACAGTTGTAATAGTTAATGATTTTCCTCACTTCTAAAAGTACAAATGCCATGGCTTGATATGAAAACATCTGCATTTTCAAGAAGAGCATCACCAGTCTGGATACCTTTAAGGCCTGAAACAAATTTGAGCCAATTCGGTCATATCTCTCAACATTTCACACAATTCTTCTCAACTCACCAGTCCCTCGTTCTTTTCAAGCAACAACTTCGACCATAAATCTTCATACATCAGAGCAAAAGGGACAGTTCCAATGCAAAAGTAATAACCAGAATAAACACCATGCCATACGGCTGACATGAGCATTGTAGCTGTTGTTCGCAACTTCTTGTGGGGGAATCTCTTATAGATATAATTCGCTAACCAATATTGGACTGTTATATTCCAATGTTTCATGGCCTCCCTCATTGTTGGGACAAAATCGGCTTCATAGGGATTCAGACAGTGGATAGTTGTATAATCATAGTCCAGTTTTTTCAGGTCTTCTGGTTCAGTTCTACAATTTTAGAGTCGAGTATAACAAGGACGCAAAAAAGGCCCTTTCGGATTGAAAACACATATTTTACGAAAGTTTTGGATGCAAATTCCAAATGGAATTAAATCATAAGTAATTGAATTTCCACACTGGGGGTCCAAGATGAGAGGGTTAAAAGGGTTAAGGTGTCACTATTTTTCGGTTTGAAGGCGTGTTTATATTGACTCAGGTAGTTTGGTGTGACTAATAGCTGTACCTGGGTCAGATAAATTGCGTAAAGCGTGTTTATATTGACTCGGGTAGTTTGGTGTGCTAATTACCTGTACCTAGATCAGGTAAAATGCGTAAATCGTGTTTATGTTGACTCGGGTATAATTACCTGAACCTGGATCAGGTGAAATGCGTAAATCGGGTTCATGTTGACTCAGGTAGTTTAGTATGCTAATTACCTCTTCCTGGATCGGGTAAAATGTGTAAATCGTGTTTATGTTGATTCGGGTAGTTTGGTGTGCTAACTACCTATACTTAGAACAGATAAAATGCGTAAAACGTGTTTATGTTGACCCAAGTAGTTTGGTATGCTAATTGCCTCTACCTGGACCAGGTAAAATGCGTAAATCGTGTTTATGTTGACTGGGGTAGTTTGTTGTGTTAATACCTGTACCTGGATTAGGTAAATTGCGTAAAAATCATGTTTATATTGACCCAGGTAGTTTGGTGTAATAATACCTGTACCTAGATCAGGAAAATTGCTTAAAGATTGTCTATGTTGACTTGGGTAGTTTGGTATGGTAATCACCTGTACCTAGATCAGGTAAAATGCGTAAAACGTGTTTATGTTGACTCAGGTAGTTTGTTATGATGATTACCTATACCCGTATCAGGTAAAATGCGTAAATCGTGTTTATGTTGACTGGGGTAGTTTGTTGTGTTAATACCTGTACCTGGATTAGGTAAATTGCGTAAAACATGTTTATATTGACCCAAGTAGTTTGGTGTATTAATACCTGTACCTAGATCAGGAAAATTGCTTAAAGATTGTTTATGTTGACACAGGTAGTTTGGTGTGCTAATACCTGTACCTGGGTCAGGTAAATTGCTTAAAGCGTGTTCATGTTGACTCAGGTAGCTTCGTGTACCAATTACATGTACCTGGATTAGGTAAAATGCGTTGTTTGTATGATAATTACCTATACATGGATTAGGTAAATTGCATAAAGCGTATTTACGTTGACTAAGGTGGTTTGGGGTACTAATTACCTGTTCCCGTATCAGGTAAATTGCGTAAAGTGCACTAGACTCAGGTATTCTAGTGTGCCAATTACCTGTACCTGGATCAGGTGAACTGCGTTGATGGCATAGGTAGTTTGGTGTGCTAAATACCTTACATGGATTAGGTGAATTGTATAAAGCGTATTTATGTTACCTGTTCCTGGATCAGGTAAAATGCGTAAAGCGTATTTATGTTGACTCAGGAAGTTTGGTGTGCAAATTACTTGTACCTGGATTAGATAAACTGCGTAAAGCGTGTTTATGTTGACTCGGGTAGTTTGGTGTGCTAATTACCTGTACATGGATCAGGTAAATTGTCTAGTGTGATAATACGTGTACCTGGATTAGGTACATTGTAAATAACCTTCGTCGACCTTTTTCTACTGACAGTCGGCTGTGGCTGAACAAGCACTCAGTGAAAGAAACCACAGGTTTCTGTTTGAAAATACGAAACACATTGTCCCCAACCAGGTTTAGAATTCTAATTACCAGCCGACTGGTACGGGAGGCAATAGAGAACCACAAACACAGGAATAATTTCAACATAAAAAAAGAAGTTGTGAACCTCAACCCAATATGGAATCCCATTCTAAGAAGTTCAGGTCCAGGTACAGGTATAGGCACACCAGACCCAGTCAACATAAATATGTCAGAGATAAACTCAGGATGCAGTGCCAGTGAAACATCAGGAAGAAATTCCAAACATCGACGGCTTTCAAACCAGAAAAATAGTAACACCGATAAGAGGGTCATTTAAATTAGGAAAGTCAGTCATTTTTAAGCTTGTTTAGATGGCGTTTTAAAACTTAGGAAATCCCGATTCGATGTGATACATCAGTGAATTGATCAAAAACAATGTAAATAACGTACAACTTGAAAAGTGACAACGAAGAGTTGATTTTTGTTTTTGAATCTCTTCAAATTACGTCAGAAAAAGTTGAAACGAAATTGACAATTTTTAGTTTCGTTTCGAAAGTCTACGGAACGGATCGGAGTTTTCTAAATTTTATAACACCCCTGAAGTAAGCTCTATGATGGATTACTTTTTCTCATTTCATTGACGGCTGTCCTTCTTATCTTGGACAGACTCATCTAACTTTGAACAAATTATCCATTTCCCCATTTATTTGATTTGTAATATCCACACTTTCTTGAATATTGTGTAAGTCTATTTAGTAACTGTTACATTGATAAAATGTTGCTGATATGCAAAATAATTCAAATACTTGTAAAGTTCATAATTTGTTATCTGATACTGGAACATAACGGTAAAATATTGAATTACTGAACGCGAAAACATTTAAAATGTGATAAGAGTCATGTTATTATCAATTAAACACAAATGTGCTAATAGGACTTCAAAGCACTGATAAACAGGTTGAAAGAATGAATTATGGTGTGAGAAAGGCTACCAAAAATAAACAAACCAGTAGATCATGGTAAGTAGGCTTCCATGGCCGTTGCTTCAAATGATTTACATTTCAAATATTTCCCAAAATCGGATATATCTTGCTAGGGGTGTATTTTAGGTATAGGACACTCTTCATGAATTTGATATCTTTTTGTTTCGTAGTACCCAAAAATGATAGAATAGTGTATGGTTTCCATTTGAAAAAATCGTGTTTTATCAGTTTTCTCGATGTTATGTTTTAGGTGGAAATTTCGACCACCCTGTAAATTATTTTCGAAAATTCGATGGGCCTGTTCATAACTTGATGCTTAAGGTGTGACTCTGTGAAATTTCACATTTTCAACTGTTATTGTCTATGAGTTATGATTTTTTCGGAGTGGTGCTGTAACTGTCAAATTTTTCAGACAAAATTATTATCTCGAAAACTAACAAATTTGGGTATAGGCATTGTTATACAAAGTGGGCCCAAAATATGCTGAGAAATTCAAAAATGTAATAAAATACAGGGTGTTCCATTTGAAATAAGTAAGTTGCCCTCAACTTCCGATATAACGGAAAGAGACCAGAAGTTGAAAATATTTTAGTTGAGAAGGCCATTTTGTCAAACTCACTCTCAGAAAATTTCAAGTTTTTATTTTGAATCGTTCTCCACATATTCCTAACGAACGCTCGTCGTGAAAGACCCTGTAGAATAGAGCAAGAGTGTTGTAAGTTGGTGCTAAAAAAATTGTCTGATGAAAGTATTAGAAGTTCATGAAGATAATAACCTATAATGTGCCATTAGTTTGAAAAAGGAATAAATCACTCGTCTTACATTTCTTTCAACTTTTCAAAGTCTGGGGTTGGTCCATGTCCAGATTTTGGTTTCGAAAATGCCGGGTAAACACCCATTCCTCCAACAATACAAACGATTTCTGTTAAAATCAATCCGAAGAAAATTCTAGACCTGAATATTAGGAACGATGGCCATATATACCAATATCTGTAGAAAAACGATCTGCTCAAGAACTCTTCTGTGCTAACATACTGAAATATTGGAGGTCATCAAAATTACAATAATCATGACAAAAAAACAATTTGTTTTTGTTCAACACTCACTGATAAAGGCCAGTAGTAATTAGCTAAGAGATGTACTCCTCCCAGAAGGGGAAGCCAATACAATTTTGAAACCAGGGCAGGTATGTAATTATCATACAAATGATACGGTTTATGTAAATGGTCCAGAAAAGTCCTATAACGAAAATACGGCCCTGAAAAAGTTGAATTTAAATAAGAAGCAAACTTTTTTGAAAAAATTCACGAATAATGGTTAACCTTACAGCAGTCATCAAAAGTTTACCAATTGTAATCAGAGTTTGGAACTGCTTTTACAGGTTTTTAAAAACAAGCATTGGAACTGCAACACTTTTCTTGACGTGCGTTCTATCAACCAAATTGGCGCCTTTAAGAGATGACGCCTGAAGACGCCAACCTGGTTGGCGAAACACACTTTAACAAGAGTATTGCAGTTCTGGTGATTTGGAAACAGAACTTGATAAAATTCCAAACTTCTATTGTACTTTTCTTTGTTCTCTTGAAAAACAAAAAATATATATTTCAAATAGTACATTACCTGTCAGAACTCCACAGTAATTGAAGACGTAATAGAAAACATCTATAAACTCCAAGTCAAAACAAACTGTTTCGTCCTCACATTTTTCTTCAGCACTCTTTGTTGATTCTTCTTTTCTCTTAGTAGTCTCAGAAGAACTATTAACTTCGAAAGCTAAACCAACTATCTTCAAAGTTAACATCATTTGGACTAAATTGGTGTGTGACGGTGGATATGGGATTCCAAAAAAGGCAGTAGTTCGAAAGAAGAACAGGTATAAGAACGAAAAGGCAAATGTGTATATATGACATTTTCTAAAATCAAAAGCCTGTATGTAAAAAATGGCATTAAATTCCTTAAAATTTTATGGAACTATCCCAATCAGATATAGTTTAATTATAATTTGCCTCTTTCATTTTCCACGTCCTTATACTGCCAACGTTTATATACAGAAAAGCACAGGACAAATAGACACTTTAGTGTTCGAAGAAACATATTTATTCTATTCCAAAATATTAAGTGTATTCACGTCAATTTAAAAACTGACTTAATCTGCTATACATTCTAGTTGTAGGTATTTTGCACGGTGCAAAAGAATGAGTTACTCCAAGAAAAACGCGCTTTGACTCTCTACTTATCCATCTTTATACAAAAAAATGTGTGAAACTTCTGAAGAAAGGAAGAAAGCAATTAATATCAAAATAAACTCCTAACAAAGATGCCCAAAAGTTTCTTTTTGTTACAAACTGGAAGTTATTGTATTCACTCACCTCTTATCTGCATACAATATTATACAGGCATTAAAAATTGTACTTATTAAAACATGTAAGGTGTGAAACCCAGACACAATGAATACAATTAGGAATCCAACGGCGGCTCCAATTTTCTTTTTGTTTTCCACATTACTGATCTTTCTGTAATAAACCCCAAGTCCCATGGAGAAAAATAGTAAGGACAAATATATCATATCATCCAAATTCATCTTGGACTATTTTATCCATACGTATTTAAAAAACTACATTTAATGACTGTGGATTGATATATTGTTTAAAGTTCACATTCGAATTTCAAACAATAACAAAAACATTTCTTTTTGTGACAATGTTAATGTTTGTTGTGTTTTGTGTTCGGTTACTCCGTCCCATCCTACATGACAGTTAGGATCGTTCTGTGATTCATGTTCATATTGAACACAAAATTTGTTTTAATCATTTGATGATGATAATCATTCATATAAAAGTGATTTTGCTCATTTATATTCTTACATGAGAAGAATAATGTTTTTTTTTCGAAAATGATTTTCTTTTGAATTTTTTATGGTCTTTCTTTGTGTCCCGTACCACGAAACAAATGGATCAATCCATTTGAAATTTATAAAAATGAACCTTTTATAATGCTTTTACTTTTACTTTTATTCGCTCAACAAATGAGAAAAAAAAAAACTAAAACAAATATTTTATTTTCGCACAAAAGTAACATTTCGACATTGGAAACAGAAAAATATGAAATGAGTGGATCCATTGCCTGCCACGAGGCACCTGACACTCTAACGCACTGTCTGCCAATATGACCATCATATGCGGTCTCAGCCTATAACCATAAACATAATGCACTGTTTGGAACCTTTGGTGTATTAATGAATATTACTGGAGTTTTATCTCAAAACCAAACCGTTATTTTCACACCTCGACACGTGTTTCGCTCACCAAGTGATCATCTTCAAAAGAAAGATTAAACAGTTTAATATTCAACATAATGCTTTCCTATGTTACATTTACGGTATTGACGAGACACCTTTGTTACCTTATGCTCCGGGAGATACTGGATCCGTTATGGGAAATAATAATAATAGTAATGAATATATTAATCCCAAGAAACATTACAATTTTATTGGGATGAAACAGGAAGCCAATTACACCACAAAAATGAATTGAACATACTTTACATTTAACGGTTCTGTTTGGATGTATATGCACTGGGATCTAATTCTTCTATTTCGTAAAAAGATTCACTGCTATCGTCTTTCTTGATATCCAATTCTTCAATCTCCACAAAATCATCTACAAATTCAATTATTTAATATAAAGCCAACTACCCCAACGAGCCTTTGAGTTTAGCTCATGAAGATTTTTGCAGCATACAAAATTGTCCTCGAAAATTTGTCAGTTGGTGTTGAGGTCACATATTACTTATTACTATGAAAAAAAAACTTACCACCAGATTCTTCGGAATCTGATTCATCTTTATTCAATTCCGTTAAAGCAGTCGTCTTCTGTACGAGATTATCCAAACATCTCTGCCAATAACCAGCGCAATTCATCGCTTCCGTCAATGCTTGGAATGTTTCATGTGCGGTGACAACATTTTTGATGAGGTGATCCTGGTGGAGGCAAATCAGACATTTCACAATCAAAAAGTTGAATTCCTCAAGAAAATCATGAATAAATATAAAAATATTTTAGGACCTTATGAAAATTGATAATTGTTTTGCCTAGTACGACCTTTCTATAGTCCTTAAAGCTGATGAAAGTTTTTGTATCCGTTAAAGAGATACTTATGTTAATTTACCAAGTGATCACAATCGAAAGATGAACGATTTTTATCAATTATGTAGTCTCTGTTTGATCTTCTGAGGTTTTTCGAGGTTAACAAATGAGTTAACCTTATCGTACGCACAAAACCCCAGCAACAATGTGGGAGCGCCATTATGCAATGTCACCACTGCCAGCTTTTCAGACACTCATCATAGTGTTGTCACACAACAGCCCGTTGCGCGAAAAGAAGTGAGAAACACGAGTCACAGAGACAAAGGAAACACCGACGACCTGCAAAGAGCTACAGTGGGTACAAAATGTTACCCAAACCTAAGCAGAACACAGATGCGACGACCAACTAAGGCAGAAACCAAGAACCGCAGCGTCCAAAGGGGACAAAACAAGCTGAGGCCAAAACAAGCTGACCGATGGGAAGAAGAAAATAATTCACGCACTCTTCACTGTACACTGCGTTCCTTCAAGAACAATCTTGAAATGGTTAATGGCCATACAACGAATTCCGAAAAATTGGAATGTCAACGGCATTGAAAGGCGCAATGACTAACTATTAGAGCTGCTGTCACGTCTTCCTATAGACGCCATGGCAATCCAGAAGTCAGGTTGAGAGCCGTGCAGGATCTACGCATCCCGGGACCGACCGAGTACAGCACGAGGACCGAAAATCGGAACTACAAACGGGCGAAACAGTCGTCGTTCGAGTTAAGATGAGATTTTCTCGGCGTACCTGCTCCCACAGGTAAACATACAGAGAGCTGACATAGCAGAAATATTTGTAAACTATCACCCAACGCAAATCAGGTCTCTGCCTCTCCGAAAACCGGAGAAGTAGAGACCTTAGAAGACTTCCAGTAAGTTTTCTCTCTAGAGACCCTAATTCACTACCCCATATCGGACAACCACGTGCCGCACATACTAGACATGGCCATAGTTCAAAACAATGCCATCGTCCATCGGAGATGTAAATACTTGTTGAGGGGTCCACGGACCATAACCTCATCGTATTCGCACTAGGAGAAAGAATGCGAAGTGAAACAGCGAACCTAACGAAGAAGATAATCGATTGTAGTAAGTACATTTCAGCATACAATCTACATCGCAATAGGAAACATCTCTCGAATCGAAACAAAGAAGTTGAATGTCAATCTGACTGAAGTGCCACGCAACAGATTGAATACCGGTCGAAAACAAGCAGGGGTCTGTTACAATGAGTTGCTAATTCATAATAGACCACCATCGTTGACGGTGAAAGTATCTAAGAAAGAACCATCGATCGTTACTTTTGAAGAAGTATTTTTGAGAAAAGGAGAGTCATGCACAAAGTCGATCTGGCAAGTCCTAGAAATTATATTAGCAATTCCTTATGCCAGATACGATCATAACCATTAGAAATATTAAGTGCAACAACCCACTGAAAACATATTGATGATCGTTTGACATGTAGAATCATTCTCAATGATTGAGAATGTGTGTTTCCATGATTTTGCATGTCACTAATAATAAAGTGAGTTATTTGGCAGAATTTCCTTATCCTTTAAGGTATAGGTTCTTTCTAACAGGAAAGACATATGAAGACATTATAAAGAGTCCACACTATTAGGCAAGTTCATTGGCGTTTCTTTCACGTCTGTGACAGTCACTTCATCGGAAACAGAAGCAAATTGATGATATCGACTCTAAGAATTTGTCTAATGAGACAATTTCGACGGTCTGAATGAATAACGAAATGGTAATTCGAGGCCTCTAAATTTAGGAAAGTAAAAACTGTGATTTTCAATTGGAAATAGATGATAAAATATTATTGGCTGAACGATCTATGCAAATTAAAGTAAATCAAGAAAATAGGCACTATCCAAGAATTAAATTTTTCCAAATACGACATAAGTCAGTTCTGGATGATTCAATACAATGAGAATTCGAGTTTTGTTTGTCAGAGCTTAAATATATAAGTGAACCTGTCTCTGCATAATACAATGAAAAATAACTTACCTGTAGGCATTTGGGACAACAATTCACTTTCTTCATATGGAAATTATCGATAATGCTATTTGAAAGTTCTTTCACATGAGCGCTATACTGTCGCCAGGCGATGATCTTTTCCTCGGTATCTCTCGTGAACTTTCGCCAATCCTCCTTGTACAAAATCTTTTTCTCTCCGTTCGGAAGGGTCACGTCGCCTCTAACGATGGACGCGAACTCTCTCACTTGTTTTATGACTTCGTGCATCCATTTCGTCCAAGTGTGGGCATTGTGGGTGATCTCGAGAAGCCAAACTGCCCAAATTTTCAGCGAAAGACAACAAACCGTGCCTGGTGAGTGCTCTACTACCACCGAAGGCTTGTGTCCTCTGATAACTCTGTCATCCTGAAACATGTTATTGACTTCTATTTTTCTTTGGTTTCGAGTCTAAAGTTATTTTAAATGTACCCCCCCTCACCTTCGATGAACCGCATCTGAGTAGCGATCCATTTTCAACATTAAAAATGCGTTCGTGATCAAGAAAACTATGAGGAAATGGAATTTGAAGCCAATCCCGTGGTGTTATGCTACACAATGAAGGGCACTAAGGCCTTATCAAGTACCACCAAAGGAGCCTCTGAGATACCAAACGTCTTCTCAGAGTATTCAGACTTATATCCATGCAGGGGGCTGCGTAGTTGTGGACAACCGTGGGAACTTATAATGAACCACAACGGAACACGAAAGGAGAAGGGCTCTTTATTGAGAGTAGTACAAGCCAAACTATAATATAGTGAGGGGATTTGAGCGGTACTTACAAAGTTTATGAGAAAGTTTGATATGGCTCTCATACGACATAAACCTTGCTGGGTCTACAGGGGTAAGATCATGGGATTGGAATAGATCCGAGGAGAGTTAATTTAAAACAGAATCTCAGAGACCCCAAGAATATGACTAATTTTCGTAATTATCATCATCACTGATAGCAAAGCGAAGATTTTTCTTGCCCTTTTTGAGAATAAACTGAACGCGAGCAATATATTCCAACACGAAGGAAAAACCCCTTCTTTGTAAGACAGGTTGAAAAGTCTGCAAAATACTCAGGCCTTGTTGGTATTGAGAAATTTCGCCTGACTAGACGTTGTCGAAAAGTTATTTCCTGATTTGTGGATTCTAGTGTGGTAGTGGTTGGTGTTGCATTCCTCAGAAAATGAACTAGATCTCAAATTCCACTTTTCGTATCAAGGACTTGATGACGGTCAAACTAAAGATGGCTGGTTGGGGAAGACCTGAGGAAATCGCTATTGGATCAGCGTATCTTCCTCATGATAGTCAGGAACCGCTAATAATCATGACACACCCCAGAACATTATTGGCTGTGATGCCAATGCACACCACCTAACGTGGAGGAGCACTGACACCAACTGAAGAGGTGAAGATTCACTACTATATCTTATCAAAACTCCCGAAATACAAACTGGGAAACCTATAAGATTGACGTGAGTTAGCAGCAGACCGATTAGTGGGAGATATTATCTATATGTATAAAGAACATTGTCCCATCGTCGACTATGGATCAAACCGGAATGCTTCCTGGTGGAATGAAGATTTGGCAAGATGGCATGACATAATGAAGATTAGGACACCTTCATTCCAAATCCTGGGAAAATCGGAGAGAACGCCTAAAAAGTTACTAACCTCTTTACCTACTACTGCTGATACTTCTTCTGGTATTGGAGGAACTCCCTCTTTTGTTACTGGTGTTATTTCTTCTGTTAGTCGAGAAGGTTCCTCTGTCGATGGTGGTTCTGCGTCAGCTCGATAGAGTACATCAATTTCTGTAGGTTCCTCCTCTCCCTCAATTTCTTCTTCTGTAAAAACAGTTGGCATCTCATCTGGTATGTAACCTTCACCCTCTATATCTCTGATAAACTTCTCTTCATCTGCTTCGAAATCTGAAGTTTGCCAATAAGATTTAACACACATGTCATAGACAGTACCAGATATCCTATGAATATCAAATGGACATCCCGCAAGGTCTTATAACTTGTTATAGATATTCTTCGAAAAATATTGTTGCAAATGTAACCAGTGACCAAATAGAATTGAATTATCCTCCTCTTATATTAACGTCCATTTCATATCCAAGGATATCCTGGCGTGAAATATCCGTATCCAACATACTCGAAAACGCAATGATTTAAAGAAAGGAAATCAACGTATTTTCACCTGACTCTTTCGTATCTCTCGATTCTCTCATGTCTTCATTCAGATGCAAGTCTGTTTCCGTTTTACCAAGTTCATCTGGCTCCCGCTCCGGAGTTGTTTCAGTTTCTGCACCTTCTTCTCCTTCTTCTTCTTCTCCCTCTGCATATTCGCCATGATCTTCTCTACCATAGCCGTCTGATTTTTCTAAATCTTCTCCGCCTATAAATTCCAGATGTTGTTACTTTATTGAAATGCAAGTTTACAAAATGAATTAAAAGGCATATTCTCAAACGAAAGAAACGCGAACAGACGTGAAGATGGTACATTGGGCCACAGAGTGTACAGGAAACCAACACCTGAACAAAAACTCCAACTACTAGCCACAACAAAAGGGAGAGTTACCTAAAACGTTGGTTGAGAGAGCACGACGTGCTTGTGAACTTGAAAATTTGTAAGAGTAACCTTGAATACATGCATGTTCATAGCCTGCTGAATAAATGTTTGAATATTCCTAAGTTATTTCAACTGATAAATATCACTTCAGATACCTTCATCTTCTGCTTTCTCTAGCCTTTCAACTCCTTCCCCTTCATCTTCTCCAACTCCTTCTTCTCCATCTCCTTCGACTTCTTTCCTTTCATCTCCTTCTTCTTCAGCTCCTTCTGCCATCTCAGTTTCAACTTTCACTTCATTTTCGCCCTCCTCTGGAAATGCGAGTTCTTCAAACGGTACATCAAAAGTACTTTCTGAAAAAGAAACCAAAATCAAGTAGAGAATTAATTTCATAAAATTGAGGCGTATAAACAAAAAATGGTCCAGATCCGTTATATTCAGTTACTGAATATGATTAAAATGAGTTAAAGAAGAAAATGTTTTTGCTCTTGGTCCTTCAATGTTTCAGCTTCTGGCTCAGAGCACAAGCTTTTGCTCAGATCACACGTTTAAAAATGTTTACAAAAACTCGCTGTACAAATATTCAGAATCCAGGGCATTTTACTCGTTATAGGAATTTCTATAAAAATTAACTAATATGTTTATATTTATATGTATGTTATATTAGAAAAAACATGTATATATGTGTATAAATAGTAAATTCACATTATATTTTGAGACGAGTCCAATAAGTTATACATTCTATACCCTAACTTTAGTGACGAATTAAGTTCTATTCTATTCTATAAATGATGATTTTTAAACAGCACAAGCTTTTGCTCAGAGCACGAGTTATTTCTCAGAGCAAAAGCTGTCACTCAAAACACAAGTTTTTCATCAGAGCACAAGCTTTTACTCAGAGTACATGCTTTTGCTCAGAGCACAAGCTTGTAGATCAGAGCACAACCTAGACTTTGAATAATAAACTAAAAAAAAGAAAAATAAAACTATTTAATATGAATACTTTTCAATACTGAGCAGAAGTTTCTCCTCAGAGCACAAGTTATTGCCTTGTCGGTTTTGTCATCCACCCCTAGCAAAAGTTTCAGATTCTAGATCAGAGCACAAGCTCAGAGCACACGGTTTCGGCTCAGAGCACAATCTAGACTAATAATAGAAAGAAAAAAAAAGAAATGATAATGTTTACTACAAATAATGAATATTAATTAGCACAAGCTTTTGCTCAGAGCACACGCTTTTACTGAGATCACATGCATGCTTTTGCTCAAAGAATAAGCTTGTGGCTCAGAGCACAACCTATAAACTTTGAATAATAATAGAAAAAGGAAGAAATGAAAATATTTACTGTAAATAATAATGATCAATACTGAGCACAAGTGTTTACTCAGAGTTCAAGCTCAGAACACAAGTGTTTGCTCAGAGTTCAAGCTCAAAGCACAAGCGGGACACTTTGAGTAATGAAAAATACATATATAAATGGAAATGTTCAGTATAAATAATGATTATTAATTGATGGATTAGTCATAAGTTCAGGAAAACGGAAAGTTAAACTGAAGAAATAGGTTCATCGACTTACCCACCTGAACCTTTATCGGTTTTGTCATCCACCCCCAGCACAAGTTTCAGCTTGTGGTTCAGAAAACAAGCTTTTATTCAGACACAAACTTTTGCTCAGAGCACATGCTTTTGCTCAGAGCCCAAGCCCGTGGTTCAGAGCACAAGCTCAAAGCACGACGTATAATTTGAATAATAATAGGAAAAGGAAGAAATAAAAATATTTACTATAAATAACGATCAAGACTGAGCACAAACTATTGCTCAGAGCCCAAACTATTGCTCAGAGCCCAAGTTTTTATTCAGGGCACAAACTTTTGCTCAGAGCACAATCTTTTGCTCGGAGCACAACTGGGATTTTGAATAATAATTGAAAAAATATATAAAAATCAAAAATTTACTATAAACAATGAATAATATTCCACAAGTTCTGGAAAACGCAAAATTACACTTGAAATACTGAAACAGGCTTCTCGCTTTACTAACCTGGACCTTTGCCGGTTTTGTCATCTGACCCCAACAAAGGTTTCAGCTTTTGGCTCAGAGCACAAGCGTATTCATGAATTGCATTCAACATTTTCTCATCAACTTTGTCAGGGTCAACTTCTCTCGCCCATTGAATCATAGCTTCTTCGAGACTGGAACGCTTGGGGCCTTTATCAATGAGTTCTCCCTTCAGTTCTCGAAGTTTATTCAAAATATCCATGTGGGTTATGCCAGGCATTGCTTCCACCTGTTGATATATCGATAATAATATGTACATTTTAACGTCTTAAACTCATACATAGTAAGAAGTCCAATAACTTATACCTATGATTTTTATTTTCAAGATTTCATAAATATGAAGAATGATATCGACTGAAATGAGCACATAAATTCATAAAAGCTCAAAGCTTCTGCCTGATGGGAAGTATAAAGGGTACACAGCACGATGACCGTCGATTAGCTGTATTTTTGGGAAACAATAGAATTCATATAATGAAAATTGACAAACATAGCTCTTTTGATATGCTTTATCGAATGCAAATAATGACGTTTTCCCAACACTTCCGGTATACTCGGAAGTTGGTACCAACTTCCTCAATTCAAATGTAATATCCTGTATATTTTCATATTTTTGGTTTAATATTAATCATTCATGAATTCCAACTGAGTGAAAAAAGAGTCGTCTGATATCAATACACCTTTTTCCTTGTAGAAAAAGTAAAGGCACTCTTTTTGAATTTAATTAAGTTGCTTGAAAATGTTTCTCCGAGTTTCTATGGGTCTACTTCAAACTGTAATGAAAACTCATTCATTTTAATCGAAATAAGCGCCATTTGAATATGTGGACTTGTGCCAACTTAACAGAAGTCGATTAATTCCATCAGCATAGAAATTAAGTGCTCGGGATTCAATAAAGTTGACGAAGGCCGATCATGTCGATCAAATCGTGGGGCACCCGCTTTCCGAGCTTTTTGACCTTTCCAATACGTTTTAAATCATTAAAAACCGTATCAGCTCTGACGCCCTGGTCTTTCGCCATCCCACGCACCGTTTGTGATGAGTCAGTTTTCATCAAATCTTCGTCATAAATTACTGTAGGTCGACCACTTCAAGGTTCATATTGGAGGCTAAAATCTCCGGAAGGAAATTCCGCAAACCAACGTCAAAACAGTCTGTTCTTTAACCCTATCATTCTGGCCTACTGCGCCGAAGGGAAGCAAAGACCATAAAAAAAGAGAAGAACCCTATCGTTGTCAAATGCCTGGTTAGTTTTTCTGACTGTTCAGGCAGCGCTTTATTTGAATTTGAATTCGTAGAGAAAAGTTGGTCGAAAATAATGGCTCGACATCATATAGTATTTTCTATCGATTAGATAATAGGTACCAGGACATAGGACACATATTTATTGAGATATGGAGCTATAAAAACACGTCATTAAAACGGAGATCTTTTGAGATATTTGAATCTGTAGGTAAGTTTTCTAAAGTTAGAGGGTATTCTTTTGATATGGGTATTTCACCTCATATAGATATGTCTATCAGGCATTTGATATCATGAGTATTTGTTACTGTATTGAATGGATATATGATTTGATTGCTTACCTCGCTCATCAGAAAGTCTTCAGGGCTATTTTCATAAAGTTCAATCAACTGATCTAAAATATTAATATTATCACCCAAGTCTCCCAGAGTTTCGAAGAACTGATTTAGGGCCGCCTTTCCTTCACTTGGGCCAAATTCTAACACTTCACCTATACGAAGAAGGGTCTATTAGACTTATATTAGAAAGTAATGAATCTTCCCTTGGATGATGTGCGGTTATTCAACAAGAGTAAGATAAGTTGAAAAATATTTCGAATGCTCGTTAACAGTTCAACTAAAGTTTAATTTCACGAATCGAGAGTTCTTACTTTTTGGGTTCGTCTTCTTTTGAATTAAAGCACACCTGATATATATACTATGTATTCCATATTGTATCGTACAATTCAACTCCACAAATAAAAGAGAGTGCTGCAAGCAGCTTCATCGAATCAGAAAGGCGATTGTTCATGTAACAAATGATCGTTGAAAACAACTAATTGAATATTTTATTCACGTTTTTCAACCGCAAGTCTGTCATGAGTGAATGAATATATTGGTTAATATGAAATGAAGTAATTAACCTTCTCCATCGTCATGATAGTCCCATAATTTTGTTGGTGTAATTCTTCCTTCTCCATCTTCAGCCGATGAGTCAACATCTGTGGTTCTTTCAGTTTCATCTCCTTCTATGTCACCTTCAATTGCTCCCTCACCAATTCCTTCCTCAGATTCTTCGCTCGCTTCTTCACTCGTCCCCTCGCGTGTCCCTTCGCTGGTTGTCTCTCCACTCTCACCCTCGCTCTCCTCTTCTAGAGAGGAAATCGTCAAAGGAGGAATATCTTCTTTACTCTCGACTGCTTGGACGTCTACGAATTTTGTGAGGGTATCCATCCATAAAGATAGCTTATCACACACCTAGAGAAACAAAAACACGAAAAAAACAATGTTATAATTAAATTGGACTTGAATTTCACTAGTTCGGACTTCCATTGTCTACTATATAAAATGATTTGAAATCCCTGAAACAACTAAAAAAGAATAATTAAAAATGAATAGCTGAAAATAACAATTATATTAAGCAAAAAGAAGTGAATTTGAAAAACTCATGAATTAAACTCAACTTTATTTTGTTCAAACTTGCATTTGCTGTAATAACCCAAATTGAGGAACATTCCCAATTGTACAACTACTTACTTTGTAATTCTGTTATCGATTAAAAAAGCAACATCAAAACATTAAATGTAGAAAGTAGAATCCGTATTTAAAAATAGTATCATAGTAACGAGTCGTCGTATAAAAAAAATAATATCATCTTTTACTCCAAAAGCGAGATTGAAAGGGGGGTTTTGTTTTCCCTAATTTCAAATAATACAATCAAGATAAAAAAAATTAAACAAAACTACAACAAAATTTCGTTTTAGCCAATCAATTCCGCTACTTTTTCTCCATTCAATCATAACCCCAACTTATACGTACCTCAATGATTGTTTTCTTGTAGTAGTTCCTAGAATTCCTCCTAGGTTTCTTCATAATGTTATTCTCATCTAGTTTTGTTAAAATCCCATCAGACAACAGCAGTTGTTTGTAATTCAAGGAAAAAAGGGGTTCACTTTTTATAAAATCCAAGATGGCTTTTACAGAATCATCAATATGACTTTCTAACCAAACTTTATCACCTTTTTCCTTTTCTTTCCTCTTTCTCTCCAATCGTCGTTTTTTGGCCAGAGCTCGTTTTTTCTTCTGCTTGTCTAGTTTTTTATAATAGTATCGCGCGTCTCTTGGTTCTAAATTTTTGTCGGTGTGCAGTATTTGCTCAAATCTCAACAACATTTCAGTTGGTAATACTTTATGATAATCTTTCCAATTCGCAAAAACTCTCCGTTTATTTGGTACTGCGAGTTGGACGAACCTAGGAGGACAAGGTTCTATTTCGCACCTTCTCTTTCTCTTCTTCATAGGTGGTTCCTCATATTTTGGGTTCGGAATTGATAAATATTCCATATATTTACTTTGGGACATTATACTTTTCTCCAGCAATGACAATTTTTTCATTTTTTGGCCATCGGGTAACTTGTTTTTCTGTACCTGCGTGTTCTTGCTCGACCTTTTATGTTGTCTCGCACGACAAAGTTCAAAAGGTATATCTATCGGGGCTTTCATAGGTGGAATAAGTTTGCTATCTTTTTCTTTCTTCTTGAATTGTCTGTAATAAGCACCCCACTGAAGTTCATTTTGAATAACAAAAGGATTTTGGTTTTCTGGCGTGCCAATTTCATTTATGCGTTTGGGATACTCTTCACAGATTGTCTCCATTTCAATCGCCTTTAAAATGTTTATTATCTGAACCACAAATTTATTTAGATTTATTTTTACGAAAATAAATCTGACGTAAATTCAAATTATTCAAATATTTTCTGGGATTGATAGGTCGGCAGGGTGACCACCATTAAATAGATTAGTTCTAGGTTACCAAACACATNGGTTGAAACAGCGTGTCGTCACTGAGATTATATAGGTTCATCAGCAATTTTTGATGCTTATAAATATCATTGATATGCCAACATGGCCAGTAAGTGCTTCACAACATATTTTTCAGACCGCTTTAGAGAAATTATGGAATGCTATAGAAGACCTCTTCGGACCAGACCATGCCACAGAAACACGACACGTAGCATTTGCATTTCTTCAGAGCCTTCTGAGGGGGCAATATGATAAACTGAAATTGATGAGAGCTCATTTTTTTCGTTTCATAAAGCACCATGACCACCCTGAAGATGTTGGTCAACGACTCGATTCGTTGAATATTTTAACCTGTAACGGAAAGAATATTTTATACTTTGAAGAAGAAGTAGGGCCATTTTTGTTACAATGGCTTCCGGATATATCCAAAGCTGGTAAAATAGAGGAATATTTGAGCATGGTGGACAATGTTGTGAAGTTCAATGCTGCTTATTTAGACGATGAAGTTATATCTGGATTCATACAGTGAGTTTTACAACTTCATATTTATGTTCGATTCGTACACTCAAATTTCACTTTTACCTCATGTTTTGTAAGTTTATAATGATATTTGTGTTGATGACTTCGATGAATCAAACCTGGTTAGTAGAGATTTCAATTCGATTTCCCCCAAATTACAACGAAATTGAAAAACATTGTCATTAATGTAGGCTCTAAAAGCTTCATTTTTCAGACACATGTGCATTCTATGCTGCAGTACTGGCAATAGCAAAACTGTTGTGGAATCGTGCTTGCAAATAATGTCTACTATTGTTGCTTACAGTAATATGCCTCCAGAATCTTTACCCAAATTCATCGGTACCTTATGCCGTACTGTGAATGTTGAAGATTATTGTATGCTTAGTTGGAAGGTAAGCGGTAAAAGAAATAAGCGTTGATCTTAAAATCCCTCTATACTTAACTATTCATTGCAAAACATTTACCTTCGCTTTAAATTCGATCTGTTCAGTATATATTCATTAATACCAAATTTATTTTTGATTTTTCAGTTTATATTCACATTGATTGTTCATTGTTCGAGTTTTTTCACAAAATTACTTCTCAGTGTTAGTGGATTATTTGTAACAAATATTTTTAGATTATGAAGAATCTCCTTGGCACTCACATGGGACATTCCACTCTTTATACTATGTGCCGTATTTTGCAAGAGCCCGCTCTCAGCTCAGATTCTGATCTTTTGAGGGGCGCAGTGTTTTACATCCACATGGCTTTATGGGGATCGATACCGGTTACTAACTTGCACTGTCCCCCCAGCTCAGTTTTACCTTCATTTTTACATGTAAGTATAAATTCAATGTTTATTGCTTTGAATAGAATATATNATTTAATACTACCGTGAGACATTAAACTTACCTTGGTCAATAAAAATTTTTCGTCAGGAGCTTCTTGTATAAACTTCAGTATTTGTTCTTTCTCCAAAACTCTGGATTTTTTGGGAACGTATCCCTCACTCTTCCTTTTTAAAAAAGCACGTACCTTAGGATAGTCAATATTTATGTTTTTTTTAATGCTGATGGTACTTTTTAGCATTGAGAAATTACTCCAAAGTGTTGCTGCCTTAAAGTTCTTGGATAATTCTGACAAATATGCCAATATTACGTTTTCAGAAAATGAATTGATATTCTTTGTTTTCCTCCATGCCATGAATTTCTCATACGTATTTTCATACACGCTCAATGATTTTTGGGGTAATAAAGTCTTACTAGCCTCATTGGCTGCATCCATAACATCCGGCGGGGTACTTCGTATATCTGAATGATCAGAATCCATTATAATATAATGTTAAAATATTAATAATTAACTCTCAACAATGAGCTCACAACAATAATGATCAAGCTATTTTGACAGTTTATTTATGATTTATTGCTGCTCTTAAACAAAAGATGCACTAAGGCCGCCTATCAGCGAAATATTCATGTATTAGGTCTTATGGACAGACTACAATGTATTTCTTATGACTTTTTTCTTTCGTGTAATTCAATGTTCATGTGAAAGTATGTAGTTGTTTTGAAAGGGTGTTTTTTTTCACAGTTTCTGCGCGATCCACAAATCTTTGTACAAATTTTCATTGGATTTAATTTATTCCTTCTTTTCTTAGGAAGATTCCCGAACTTTTCATTATCAGAAATATATTCTATAATGCTGTTTCGATTCACTAGCTATCAGTTTGTGATCTGGCATTGGTTTTTCACAGGCGATAAAATGCAACCAAGCATCTGTAGCATTTGAAGTCGTACTAGGTCTCCAACACCTGGTGAACAGACATGGACAAGAATTACAAAATCCAGCTTGGTCGGTTTTGTTACAAATTATATTGCACATCATCCATCACTTTGGTAAGTATTCTCACTACGGTGATGTAAAGAATACATTTGTGGACTACTGATATTCAACCAGCAGTCCTGTACAATATAGTAAGTTTTTGTGAATAATAATCATGATCCAACACCACATCAGCGGTATTTTTAATCTGCCATTAATGGTACTAGGCAGAACCACGATTGGAGTTAACAGTTTTTGAAGGACAAGCCTGACTGAGACAATTAATATCACTGATGAACAAGGCTCTCAAAAATGTCAAATTTCATCGCCTTTTCCAGCTCAGACTTGCTTTTTTAGGAAAGTTTAATCCAATAATCCATTCGTTGTTCAGCCTTGCACCACTTTTGAGACCTACAGGTTGAAACAGCGTGTCTGGTGGTACATAACGAATGCTTGGTTTTTGGGTTCTAATTTCAATAATGTTGATCTTTATTCGTTGCTTCATGATAAAAACCTATTCCCAAATGTAGAACATGCCAATTTAATATTATACGAGATGCGTGTTTGTGCGTTTGGTTTCCGGGTTTTTCAGTGGCAAAATGGAGATTGTAACCAAAAAAGACCACGGCAAAACCCGGAAACCAACCAACATTCCTATATAAGAAATTTGTTTAAACAGAAACAGAGTTAGTTTGTTGGTGAGAGGTATAAAAGTTAGAAATGTTTTGCGTGTTCACCGTATTCACCAGATTTGTGCCTCCGCGACATTTTTCTGTTCCCAAGGTTGAAGACACCAATGAAAGGACAGCGTTTTGAGACGATTGGAGGGGATAAAAATCAAATATCTGAGAGTTCAAGGACATACCAAAATGTGCATATCAGAACTGCGTCAAGGATTGGAAAAATCGCTGGGACAGGTGTAATATATCTCAGAGGGAATACTTTGAAGGGGACAAAGTAGAAATTGTTGAATAAATAAATATTTTTTGAGAAAAATTAAGAATCACCTCATTTTTTTCAACAGACCTCGTATGCATCAGTATATCGTTATATACTTTTATTTGAGATCAAAATTGAATATTATATCAAATATACTTATATTTGAGATAAATTCCGCTATCATAAAGTTTAGCATTCTGCTACTGCTTAACTGCTTAACCAGTTATTCGAATGTTGCAAATGATATCTAAACTAAAGTTAATTTCTATGTACTTCAGACCTCTCTTCAAATCAACCGCCCAATAAAGAAATAAAGGTTTGTTTGCGGGAAACGCTGAACAATATAGAAAACCTCATGGAAATCGGTAGCTACAATGGATCCGTCGAACAATTTTTTCGTATAATCGAGGAATGTTCCGCCGACCAACCAGAAAGTTCTATACTGAGACTTATCATGTATTATTCGCAAAGCATTGTACCGACTGAACATTTATGGCTGACTAACCTCTATAACTTGCTACACAAGTACTTCAAACCGGAAATCAGAACCAATATCAGATTGAAAGTTTTAGACATATTAGCCAATGTTATAAAACTGAATAGGTAAGCCATTGCATTTTACTTAGGTTATGATATTTGCAATATTTAATTTCAAGTCGATTATTTTTAGTATTATGTTGTTTCAAAAGTTTTCTTCGGTTTATGAGTCTACTTTAAGCTCTAATATATCGGTGAATACTTTTTCAATTCAATTGAAATGAGCCCTATTTGAATCGGCGCACTTTTGCCAACGTAACACAAGTCAATTAATTCAGCCAACATAAAAATTGTGAGGTCGGGATTTGATGAAGTCGACGAAGGCCGTTTTTGCCTGGTCCTGAAACGGACAAAACTTTTCGAACAACCAATACCTTTTACCACTATTCTGCAATTAGAATATTCTATTCTTTGAATGATTTTATATCAACCAAAAGTTGTTTTGAGGTTAACTTACATTTTTCATTAAATTACAGGAAGGAAAAAAGGAATGAAACAAAATGAGGTGATATTTGTGAACAAGTGACTTTATGCTGTTTGACTGGTTTTCATTGTCACTTGACTTGGGATCACAATTAAATTCCTTGAAATAAAAAATTATTGTATTTTTAGGATTTTTTGGCATGAAAATTACTGTTTAGTTGCAAAATTATATTTTTTTGGAATTTAGTCTACATTCCTATGCACACTAAAATGCTATCAGAATATGTAATGAATATGAGAACATATCTGTATCATAACCTCAACTGCTAAAAAAGTTGCGTAATAAAGAGTCACATGGGAGCATTTCTTATATTTTTTCCGATGTTGGGTGGGGGAGGAAGTATGACAATTGAGGTTATGTTAGAAAGATGGCCCCCTTGAATTAAAAATCGACCTGAAACTAAGCAGATTTTTATTGTCCTTTACATTTTGTAAAACTTTATTGTTGTATAACGAAATTTTAATAGAGACATATTACCTTTTTCACATTTCCACATTGATAGCGTCTTTTCATTCTAGGAGACAGTACGAAGACGAACTCATTGAACGTATAGTACTACCACACACTGTCAATGTTGTTAATTGTAACGATGTTATTGTTAGATCCTCAGTTGCTAATCTGTTGATTGATTTGGCATTGGAATGTGAGTCGAAAAAATGCGTTGAATTACTGGATATTTTGGAACGGGTAAGTGTTACGAAATACCTCAGTGGGGTCTTGAATCAATGGAAATGAATTTTCGTTTCATTTAAAGTGTGACTCATTTAAAATAGAAGTTTTAGTTAGAGTGTTTGGTTGTATTGACAGTGAAATGAAGTTAATTTTGATTATTGTACAGTGTAGTCAATTATTGGTAAACTCACGGGGAAAGCGTAACAATATTTTGTTCTTCATTTTTATCACCTAGATCTCTGGAACAATTTTCAATAATGGAGTTTTTAATCTTAAATTCTACTGTAATACTTGAAAAAATGTTCATTCCAGAGTCCAGAAACCATCAAGCTAACTAGCAGAATCTAGAACCTGTTCCAGGTCGGTTACTTTTTAAATTTGGTTTCAGCTATTACTCAGACCTTTCGATAGTCATATGCAAGACATTCCACCAAATACGGAAATAGAACACTATGATATTCAGTGTCTTGTAGAAGGATTAATCAAAGTATTCATCTACAAGATACATAAATTACCTTCGATCCAGGCTATCAAGATTTACAAAATGTTGGTGACATTCTTGGAATGTCACTACAAACAGCCAAAAGTTTTTGAAAATTGCCCTGTTATTAGACGAATGGTAAGGAACATATTAAACGGAGAAGTTGCTACGAAAAAATGAAATTATATTCGGAAATTATAAAACTGAATGAGTTTGATGAAATAACTAAGATTTGAAGCTTTAATAACTTCTATTTATTATAAGCGAGCGCTTTCTATAGCAGGCTGTGCTGTCATCTTCATGGCTCTATTCAAGTTGAACGTTTTATCTTCTTGTATGTTCTTTTATACGGTTAGAACGCCTTGGTGCAGGTATCTGTCCTCTTCTTTCATCCGGATGTCCCTTTAAATTTACCTGTACTTGAGTTACATAAGGTAATATTCTTTGTGTTGGTGTTTCTCTACGTTAATTGTTTCTAGGAATGTGTATAGTTTTGTGGAGTATATCGAATATTAGGTCTTGTTGTATTTTGATTTGTATTCGTTCCTTGATAAGTGAATTATGACTTTTGAATTTATGTTTATGTTATCCCAGATGTCCATATGGTTTCTTTTATTGACTTGTTTTATGAGTTTGATGTTTTCGGGTGGGAAGAAGTTATGTTTGTTTTGTATGGCGTGTGTTGCGAGGTTTGATTTATATGTTATTGGGTTTATGTAGGCATGCTTTTTTATGCTCGTCGTACCTTTGGATCAGTTTTTTCTTGGTTTGGCCGATATAGAATTTGTTGCAATCCGAGCATTGTATGCTGTACACTCCGTTTAGGTTTTTTCTTCTTCTTTTTCATAGCTGTTTATTTTTTGTGTTATTTTCGTGTTTAGCTTGTAAGTGATGTTAATGTTACAACAAGACCCAACATTTAATATACTCCACAAAACAATACACATTGTTTTGTGAACCTAGACAAACACCAACAGAAAGGATATAACCCGATGTAGCCCAAGTACAGGCAAATTTAAAGAGACATCCGGACGAAAAGAGAGGATATACCTGCACTAAGGCGTTCTAACCGTATAAAAGAACAAATAAGAAGATAAAACGTTCAATTTGTTTGTTAACTATCAGAAATAGCTTCTTTATTCATAGTAAGTTCTCCACATACCAATTTTCTATGATGGAGTTCATCATTCAACTAAAACATGACGAGATTTTTAGATTTTTGACTGTTTTCTAAAAATGCGAGCCGACTCCCTGTATCATTTGGGATACGACAACGGTGAAAAAATTGAATATAGCCATTATTTATGTGTGGTGTATCATAATCCTGACCGAGGATCTTTAGGATCTCCAGTGCCACAATCTCCTGCACCTACGCAAAATCTTCCTGTTTCTGTAACTCATGTTTCCCTCAGAAGAGCATTCAAAGTTTTTCTAAGTTGCCTGAAATTTGAGAAAGGTGAGTACTTTTGCAACTTCCAAATCTATTTTAAGAAAGTATTCAGCTAAAGAAGTGTTGCACTGATCAAATTCATCAACGTCAGTGTATATTTCTTTGAATAATTTCATATGGTTAATTTTTGAAACTCTTCACATTGGAAATTTTATTTTGTGGGCGAAAATACCCTATAGATTAAGACTCAGTTTTACTACCATCTTTTCAAGCACTACTATCAAGCACAACACTATTTTCAAGCACAACTATCGCCATCTCTAAGTCGGGCCGGGTAATATTCAACTTTACTGATTTGTAAACTAAAAAAAATGGTCTCAAGAGAAATCTTCTGGAGGTTTCAGTGCTAAAAGTAATTTTTTTACAGATTGGGAGGTCTTGAGTCTTGTTCTGAAAGAAATGACGAAGGGGCTTCAGAATAAGTCTCTTATTTTGTCAAAGCAGGGAAATAATGAGTTGGATCTATTAGTCGATGTGTTGTGTGCAATGGTAAAGTTAATTTTCAAGTCATTATTTTTATGTCTTAATTGACGTTCATAGAATTTTCTATACTGGATAATCAACATTTAATATTTAAATTTATTTTCAGATTACAGACAAAAGTTACAATCTTCCCGAATCGTTGAATATGAAAGTATCTAAACCGAACTTCCATGCATTGGTCATTCTAGTCTTGGTTAATTTAGCTTCTTATCACAATTACCTCGATCAATCTCACCAACAAAAAATGATAAGATGTCTCATGAAATGTACGAACAGTATAGGACCTAAAAGTTCCAAACACTGTATTGCGGCACTCACTATTTGTACACTGGAAATGAGAGAAGCAATGGTGAAATTATTGCCCGAAGTACTTTTAAATTTGTCCAAAATATCAGCAACGGTTCACATCGCTATTCCTGTTTTAGAGTTCATTTCAAGTAAGTAATTAGAACATGGACCTCAAGAGCATAACCCCGATTGAAATTCTAACTAATCTAACCTGAAAAGTATGGCTTCTATTTATAATCCTTGTGCCTCTAATAATCCCTATTTGGATGTAACCTAATCTACTGAAAGTTAGGTTCATTTTGTATTTTCAATCCTTACAGGCTTAATCTCCTTCTCTGCTTCAAGTAACCTAGTATTACTATTGATTTATCAATTGAATTTCTGTTGACAACCCATATGTTCTTAACCTTACTGAAAGTTTTAGCATCTGCTTAACCATAAAAATATCTACAAATAGGAACGATAGCACTTTAAAAATCACTTTTCCCAATCATCAGATTGGGAGCACTTGAACAAGCACTTTTCCCAATCATCAGATTGGGGGCACTTGAACAGTTACTTTTCCCAATCATCAGATGGGGAGCACTTGAACAGACGCTTTTGCAAATCATTAGATTTGGAGCACATCAACAAGCACTTTTACCAATCATCATATTGGCAGCACTTGAACATGTACTTTTCCCAAATCAATAGATTTGGGAGCACTTTAAAAATCACTGTTCCCAATCATCGGAATGGGAGCACTTAAACAGTCACTATTTCCAATCATCAGATGGGGAGCACTTGAACAGGCCCTTTTGCCAATCATTAGATTAGCAGCACTTGAACAAGTACTTTTCCCAATCATCAGATTGGGAGTACTTGAACAAACACTTTCCCCAAATCACCAGATTGGAAGCACTTGAACAGTCACTATTCCCAATCATCAGATGGGGAGCACTTGAACAGGCACTTTTGCCAATCATAAGATTTGGAGCACATGAACAAGCACTTTTACCAATCATTATATTGACAGCACTGGAACAGGTATTTTTCCTAATCATCAGTTTGGGGGTACTTGAACAAACACTTTTCCCAAATCACCTTATTGGGAGCACTTTAAAAATAACTTTTCCCAGTCATCAGATTGGGAGCACTTGAACAAGCACTTTTCCTAATCATGAGATTGGGAGCACTTGAACAGTCACTATTTCCAATCATCAGATGGGAAGCACTTGAACAGGCACTTTCGCTAATCATAAGATTTGGAGCACATGAACAAGCACTTTTACCAATCATTATATTGACAGCACTTGAACAGGTACTTTTCCTAATCATCAGTACTTGAACAAATACTTTCCCCAAATCACCAGAATGGGAGCACTTTGAAAATCACTCTTCCCAATCATCAGTCACTATTTCCAATCATCAGATGGAGAGCACTTGAACAGGCACTTTTGCCAATAATAAGATTTGGAGCACATGAACAAGTACTTTCACCAATCATCATATTGACAATACATGGCAGTTTTCGCAATATCACTACCTTATACGAATCCATTTCGATATGACCACTATACCGTGTCTCTGGCTCACCATGTGATAGCAGTTTGGTTTCTCAAGTGTCGGCTACCGTTCAGAAAAGATTTCGTCAAATTCATCACGAACGTGAGTTAAGTAGAGTTTTTTGAAGTTTTGGTTTGATGATCTTTGTGTTAATCCAACAGGGTTTACAAACGAATGTTTTGATACCATTTGAAGAAACAAAAACAACCATATTCAATCAAAACTTGAGCGAGTTGAATCAAGACAGTTCTGATAGGAAGAGGAGTTCCAGTTTGACAGAACAGGGTTCCAGAAGAAGAACTGCTAACGTATCTGCCGTTAGGATGGATAAAGCCGTTTTGAAAAAGTCAAGCCCGGAGAAGTCGCTCATGACATTTTATGAGGAGCTCACAGAAACTTGCATAGATCTGATGGCGAGATATGCCTTTTCCCCTTGCAGTGCCTTACCGAGAAGGTCAGTATAGTACTAACATAGTGAATGTGACGAGTGCTTTGTCTAATTGTAGACTACCTGTTGCTGAATTTCTCTTGAACGGTGGACAAAGCATGTGTTGGTTGATCGGCAACAAGTTGTTTACCGTAACGACTAGCGGGTGTTCCCAAAAAATTCTGAAAAATGGCCTGTGCGACAAGTGTTGGACTCTGTGCAGCAATCAAAACGAGTCCAGGAAGAAAACTGGCCGGAGTGGAAGTAACGAAACCGATGATCTAGATTGGGCTTCTCGCCAGAATTCCAATGAGAAATCCAATAACACCTCAGTTAGCTCACCTTCGGAAGACTTGAGAAAAATTGGGGATAAACTTGATATGGTCTCTTCGAAACTCCAACAGATTGCTAGCAGCGTAAAACAGGAAAAGGAGATGTGTGCTTGCTGGTGTTCCGGGTGGGCTGAGATTTATGTTAGAAGGCCAACAGGTAATGATTGACTTTTGTTGGGGTTTTTGTGCTAAACCTCATTTATTAATTAATAATATTTATTGATTTCTTTAGGACATACATACATTATTTTAACCACATAAAATATTTAAAACGAGAAATACTGTCATATTACTTTGTCACACTCCTTTTTTACCCACTATATTAATTACTTCACCAACGAACAAACCTTTTTAAAGAGGTTATTTGTAATGTTTACTGATAACTTTTCATGGTCCTATGAATTTGTCCATGCAACTTTTTTATTACTTATGTTTTTTTTGAATTTTCATTTGTAATTGGTATTCGAAAAATTTCTGTGACTTCGATTTAACAGATATCGTAAATAGTAATAGAATTTTAATACTGCCAACATGAGTTCGAAAGAAAAGGGCTTGAGAGAAGCTCTTAAGGATATGTTCAAAAGAAATAAAGGAAATTCAGCCCGATTCCTCTGAATAAGGAAGAAAAACTTTCTTATTAGTCAGTGGGCTATGTTTGAAAACTGGCAGTAAACAAATCTAAAGAAATGAACATTAAATGTTCAAGCCAGTCTCGGATATACTTACACAGTAGGTATGCAGTTGGTTAGTATCTCGTCCACTAGATGGAGTGATATTTTGTTGCTCGCTCCAACTTAGGAAGAGGATTGAGATATTCTGAAAGAATTCCGATTTTCAATTATGGAATATCACTGAATTCAGGTCGATGATGGCCAATATCTTGCACTGATGAGTGGCTAATGAGCCCGAAACCAGTCTGGTTGAAAAAAAGAGACATCACCAGAAGATGGCAAGTGAGACTTTGCCGAAATGTTGTGAAAAGAATTCTTATGGGGATGAAATACACAGAACACGGAGTTAAACCCGAGAAAACAGCTCATAATACTTTATCCGTGAGAATCTTCGAGTTAACATATATATACAGCAAAATGGATTAACGGGGTCTCTCAGTCAAAAAATCAAAAATCAAATTTCTGTTCTACTTTGCCAAGCTTTCGCTTCTAATGGGAAACTTCTCTTCAGGGCAGTAAAAATGAGTTAAAAACAATAAATTGAACATATAAACTGACGACCTGCATCAAGCATTTCTATATCACATTCATTAGAAGCACTTTGGAATATGCTTCCATTATCTGGTTGAAACAATGAAATAATTCATTATGTATTGTTGCAAAAAAATCTAATATTTTTGTAAAGAAAATGAATTCACGCTTTTCTCTCTCATTGACAAAAGGGCCATTAAGTCTTCACATAGTTTGTTGGCAAAATTTTAGACTAGCGACAAATTCTCTAGTTTAGAGTGTAACGAACAGATGGCGATATCGTAGAATCCCATTGAAAAAGTTAACTTTGCAATTGTGGACCGACAAGGAAAATAATTTTGATGGCAGCCTACAAACAAATCGACCAGAATAGTGTAAGTGCATTAAACAACAACATATGTATTCTAAAAACACTTTATTGTGTGATTTTCACTAGATAGTAGAAGTGTTGCACTGATCAAATTCATCAACGTCAGTGTATATTTCTTTGAATAATTTCATATGGTTAATTTTTGAAACTCTTCACATTGGAAATTTTATTTTGTGGGCGAAAATACCCTATAGATTAAGACTCAGTTTTTCTACTATCTTTTCAAGCACTACTATCAAGCATAACACTATTTTCAAGCACAACTATCGCCATCTCTAAGTCAGGCCGGGTAATATTCAACTTTACTGATTTGTAAACTAAAAAAAATGGTCTCAAGAGAAATCTTCTGGAGGTTTCAGTGCTAAAAGTAATTTTTTTACAGATTGGGAGGTCTTGAGTCTTGTTCTGAAAGAAATGACGAAGGGGCTTCAGAATAAGTCTCTTATTTTGTCAAAGCAGGGAAATAATGAGTTGGATCTATTAGTCGATGTGTTGTGTGCAATGGTAAAGTTAATTTTCAAGTCATTATTTTTATGTCTTAATTGACGTTCATAGAATTTTCTATACTGGATAATCAACATTTAATATTTAAATTTATTTTCAGATTACAGACAAAAGTTACAATCTTCCCGAATCGTTGAATATGAAAGTATCTAAACCGAACTTCCATGCATTGGTCANTGCATCAGAAATTAATGATGGACGACGACTGCAAAAGTTCGGACGATGATGGCGGAAAGAAAAACAAAATGTATTCCAAAGATATGAGGGTTAGCTGCGAAGCTATACCCGAGGAAATAGCAGGATCTGGTAAGTTTGATTCGCTTAGAGACAAACATTTGTTTCTACAGATCTGAGACGAACGTGTCGGGAAGTATAGGACATGATTTCTGATATATTGTTATTAGATCGGACACAGAGAGTGAACTGTGAACAAGTAGTTTTGCTAGGTCTGCACGGCATTGGAGGTTTTGTTCAATTGATATCAATTTATTTAGTGTGAAAGCTATTTTCTGTTTTTTTTTTTTTGGCCGTGGTCTGCAGGTTTTTATGCCTGACGTTTCGTCTACTACTGCGGTAGACATGATTAAAGGGATGATGCTGTAACGGTCGCAGTGCCCGAATTGGTGCACGTGAAGTTTTTCCGTTCCGAACTCGGTAACTAAGATGTTGGTATTTGACTCTGGTTTCATATTATTATTATTAGTGGGCTTGGCTTGGTTTCTTTTAACTTCACTTACTGACCTTCTGTATCTGTCAGGGTATGTGTAGGCCCACAAAGCTTAGGCCATATGTGACCCATTGTACATCCTCCCGAGGAGTTGTCCTCCTAAGTCATCGTCCATCCTATCCTTTTCAGGAAGGTGGAGACTGGGAGGTCTCTGGGAGACATCTCCTTCATATTGACTGTGTCTCTCATGAGATACTCATTTTGAAACTCAAATATTACGGTATTAGAGGGGTGGCATTGAAGTTATTCAGTTCATATTTGGAAAATAGAAAACAATGTGTTACTGTTAACCAAAGAAACTCGGACTTTCTATCTATAAAACATGGGGTCCCACAGGGGTCAGTGCTTGGGCCATTATTATTTGTAATTTATATAAATGACCTATGCAACTTCCTATTATTACCCAATAAAAGTGTTCTATTCGCCGACGACACTATTTTGATGTATACATTTGTATACTTTAAGGACAGGTAGCCAAATTTTATTGATGTTCATTGTCTCATATTTTCTATCGAATATAAAAAAAAAGAAGAGACAATGAACATCAATAAAACCAGACTACCTGTCCTTATAGATTCACAAACGACGTAAGGTCATGCAATTGAGAGAAACCAAGCCACGCTCACTAATAATGATATAAAGCCAGATTCAAATACCAGCATCATAGTAACTGCATTCGAAACAACGGGATAGATGGTAACGGCATAGATGAAGTCATAAGTCAAATTAATAGATTTATTTCGAAAGAATTGTTGTAGTACTCTCTTAAAAAAATAAGGTGAATTTTCATTTTTCTCTTGTCCCTTTCAAGGTAGTCCCCCTCAGATCTAACACACTTGTGCAAGCGTTTTTTTCAATTCCCTTCTATCTTGGAAAGGTGAAAAATTCGCAGAGGACCAAATCTGGTTAATACGGTGGCTGAGTGTTGTTTTTGGCCAAAAAATTAAAAACAAGCAATGAGCAATGCTCAAAAGTGTCAGTTATGGCCCTTTTAAGCAAATCTGGATCGGTTTTGATGTTATTCAACAATTCCTGAGCGATTTTCATGCGACGGTTTTTTGCTATCATACGGGAGCCCAAGCGGGGATTTCAGGATTTACTAAAGCGCGGCAGATTAATATACAGGGGGATAAATTCTTGAAACCCTTCAAGCCTCTAATATATATTCAATTACTCAACCAAACCTAATTATAGAATACCTGAAATATATAAATGTGTTTGTAATCATCAAACTGCTTGTTTATGTGGTGAGTCTTTGTATTTTAATATTCTATGAATTGAGGTCATTGTACTTTTACTAAGATATTTTTCAATTTACCCACATATTCAACATAAACTGCAAAATTGAAAATGTGCACAATTTTGAATAGTTTTCGAGTATTTGTAACATTTCGATACTTTGCATTTTCAAACTTCCAAATAGTGAAAAAATATAAAATGTTTCCCCTCTTTAAGGTACGACTCCACCATCCAATGATCCTCTTCATGTCGAAAAAACGGCTCAGACTTCCAAAAACCTCCTCAATTCTTCCTATCACCCAACCCTATTAAGTTGTCATAGTTATCCCGGTTCCTCTCCTCCGAAAGAAACAAACATTGCCCCAAAACCGTACCAGACCGTACCACCAACTCCTAACGTTTCTACCTTCAGTGGTCAACAACCAGATTTCATGAAGAGACCAACTAACTTGCCGAACTTGAGTAGTTTGGTTCCGTTGAGCAGTAAACCACCGCAGAGTCCTACTCAAACTTCTCCGAGATTGGGAAGACATTTGCTCAGTAGAGATGGTATGTATGCATTGTGTAGAACAGGGAGTAGATGTTGCCACATACACATTAGCAGAATGTTCAGTCATTGAAGGGAGTGGTGTGGTTTGAGTACCAGTATTTGTAACTAATAATGTATCGTTGATTCAATTCTCGAAAGGTCATAACTGTGTCTATCAGAAATATCAAAATACTAGTACTCCTAACGACACTGCCAGGTATAAAATTAGGGTCACTCCGTTTTTTCCGGATCTCTTCCTGATGTCACATATTTTACAAAGTCCTGGCAGTGTATTTAGTTGTTCTGTTTTGTATTGAGATCATTAACTTTAAGTTAAGAGTATTTTGTTTCAAATTAACATTCAATAGATTGAGGATCCTAACATTTCAAATTAATTTCTCTCTTCCGCTATTCATCTATCTATCTATCTATCTATCTGAAACTGCATGGTACCTAATATACATCTCACAAAATTTCATTAGAAAAATAACAATTTCGAAGCTGGTTTTTGTAGATCCCAATAACATTTTGTATTAAAAATATCTCCCTCACTTGCAAACGCCTTTCAATTTGACAACAGATTCAAAAGGTGAGTAAAATCCTTGATTAACTCAAGGCGTGTTGAGTGGTTGATGCTTTCATACTAATATTTAAAAAATCTCATGGATCCCAACTTGAGACAAATCAATAGATTTTACAGAATAAAAAACAGGTTATTGTATCCACATTAAGAAGGAAAAAATTTAAGAGATGAAGACATTTTTTCAAATTCAGCAGTATTCTACATGAAATCCATGTATCAAGCAGCACCCATGAAGTTAGTGCCAGTCCTTGAAAACCTTATAACACGATCTCAAAAACGCCTCTGTCGATAAGTCTACTGATGATTCTAGATACAATTTAGGTTACAAAACATAAGTACCAATAAGAGCATGCTTTACGAGTTCTTGCTCAATGCTTTTTACAAAGGCTAGTGGTGAAAGGACCATTTAAACAACGACATATGAAAATGGTTTCAATTCCCGGACATGCAAGGGTGGGAAATTCCCCATCAATGGATCAAATTTACTATTCAACATCCAAAAATTGAGCCATGGTGAATATTGCATGGTTTGTCATATTTGTCTAGTCTTCATGATGCGGTCTTCAAGTTAATTATCGATAATAGAATTGAATGCCTATCTACAATTGAAATTAATGAAAGTCTTCCGCCCATACTATCATCTTCAAGAAATGGAGAGAGTTTCGTAAAGAGCTCAGGAGACTTTTTTCCTTACTTTTTCAAAAGTTTAGGATTGACTATATCTTAACAAGGTTAGGTATTGGTTGGTTCAAAAGTTTTTGTACATTTTAATGTTATCTATTTTTGTAGCTCCTTATCTTAATGTCGTGGTAGGTATATACTGATCAATAGAGAATTTTGTACTCTATGCATTGATGCTGTTAACTTTTTACACATTTTATTATTTTTGCCTCTTTTCGACTTATTACTAAATGATGTTGAGCGATTTTTGGCCAGTTTTTCCTTATGAATTCAAATTGAACCGAAAAAGCCAAAAAATTAAAACAGGTATTTGGCAATGGTAGTGTTGAATATTACTGAAGTTCTCTCCCAACACCAAACAGTTATTTTTGACACCTCGACCTTGAAGATGATCACCAAGTCATCATCTTCAAGAGGAAGATTAAACTGTTCGACGTTTGTTTGCGAAATTTCGTTTCGGAGATTTTAGCCTCGAAGATGAGCCCCGATGTGGTTAACCTACACTAATCCTGAATTTGAGGACACTAATAGAGACAAACCCATCACAGACGGTACGTGGGACGGCGGATGAATTGGGCGTCAGCTCCCATGTGGTTTTTGATCATTTAAAACCTATTGGAAGGACCAGAAAGCTCGAAAAGTAGGTGCTCCACGATTTGAACGATCTGAAGAAGTTTTTACGTCTCAAGGTCTATTCTTCTTTGCTTTTGCGCAACCAAAACTATCCTTTTTTGGATCGTCACGTTTGATGAAAAGTTGGATCCTCTACGACTACAGGAGAGGGTTAGGACAGAGGTTGGACACCGATGAGTCACCCAGGCACTTCTCAAAGGCGAACATACCCCAAAAAAGGACCTTGGTTACTCTATAATGGGCGGCGGCTGCTGTGAATCACTATTACTTTCAGCAATCCGGCTAAACCAGTGCCACTCACTGTCTAGATGAGCTCACAGATGGCTCATTAGTTGAAGAATCTTTTTGGTGTTCATACATGTGTTCTGTACATGATAGTTTGTACTTAGTACACATGAAGGATAATCTGTATTACCGTGTATGCGCCTCTCCCATCTCAAGGTCAAACAATTGTTATGACGTCACACACACACACACACACATCCAATATCTCAGACAAATTATGAATACATTCTCAGCTATGCACCAGACATATCGTTTGAGGTCACCCTAATTACACCACTTGTATTAATTAGTCATTAATGAAACCATAGTGGTGAGGGGGAGGCTTCGAACCGGCTGAATTCTCTTACTATGCTCTCATCTTTTCAAGCGCTTCGATAAAATTTCTCATCAGCGGCACTCTAATCAACCCATAATAACCCATTTCGTTTCGAAAATCAACTGCTCTTCACATAATGAGTTAGTATTGTTTTACAGGTCGTGAAATTCAAAAAAGCTCCTCGTCCTCAATTTTAGAAAAGAACACCTCCAACGTGAATCTGAACCTAGCAAGGGAGAGAGCAAGGGAACGTAAAAACAGCGGCAGTATGGAGCGCCTCAGCAGCCTGGAACCAAACTTAATGCAGAAAAGAGATCGTGTACATACAATTTCTGTGATGAGCCCAGTAACCCGTAAGCCACGGTCAGAAACCTTTCGTTCCCATACGAAATCTAAAGAAGTTCCAAAAAGTGGTATCAATCCAAGTTTCGTATTTTTACAGCTTTATCATCAGGCTAGCTTCGGAAGCAAGAGCGAGAGACCCATCTTGGTGGAGAACAATGACATTGCGTTGAGGGCTGTGAAAGTTTTGGACAGTATCGCTCCATATGAGACGCACAAGATAGGTGTGGTGTATGTGAGAGAGGGTCAAACGAATTCCGAGGTGGAAATTTACAAAAACAGATTTGGTTCCTTAAGGTACGTCGAGTTCTTGCAACAGCTTGGAACTTTGGTTAAGCTCGAAGATGTTGATCCGCAGGTGAGAACAGATTTTGAAGTAGCACCTTGAAATGACGGAAATTGACTACCAGTTGTATTAATTCTCATCTTTACAGTTCTAAATGTTATTCATTTCAAGAAATGAAAATACCCTTGATAATTTTCTATTGACTTTGAGACCATAACATTGTAAATATGAAATTAATGCTAAGCAACGATAATGGACGTAATAGCAACAAAATATATTACAGATCCTACAAAAATGAAAAAAATAAATTTAATTTTTTCCAGAAATTAGATATGCAAAATTGGGATTTCGTTGATTGTAACGAATTGGGTATAAACAAAAAATTTTTGAAATTTATTGACATACTCAAGTCATGTATGGAAAATTGTTTTCCTTTCAAACAAAAAAATAACAACAAACAAAGCAGTAAAAAATTCTGGTATACAAATGAGCTCCAAACCATAAAAAATCAATTACAGATCGTATCAGAACTATGCCAAATTTCTAATGATATACATATTAAAAATGTAAAAAAAGAATATCAAAAAGTATACAAAGAAAAACAGAAAATTACAAAAAGAGAGTTTAATAACACGAAAATAAAGGATTCGAATAATATTAACAAAACTATTCAACGAAAGTCATTTTTTGTGGAGGAAAAAATCAGTTTTTTATCGACCTTTTTTGGGTAATCTGAAAAAATATAAAAATTATAATGGAGAACTTTATACAAGTGTAGAAGGGCAAACTTTTCAGTTTACCCCGATAAGTTACTGCGTAAAAATCAAAGTATTTTTCACAAAGAAAAATCTTCTNCTTGCAAGACTTGCCTATGCAGAAACTTATGCATATGTATGTTGGATATAATTCAATGTCGGTAAATGCATTGGCTGGATAAGTAGTTATTTTGGGCAAGCATTGGCTGGATAAGTAGTTATTTTGGGCAAGCATTAGCCAGATACCACTTTGTAGGCATGTGAAAAGTGAGCGTAAGTCAAACAGTTATTGAATAATATACAGTTTTTTACACTTTATTATTCCAATGGTATATTTAACTATAATCACACAAGTTTGTCTTAAAAAGACTTACACTAATACAAAACACACTTTGATCTTGATATGGAAATAAAATTACAATTCCTGTTTGGAAGCAGGCCTTTTGCTTCCAGTATCTCCCTTAGGATTTTCATATAGGCATTTGGAATCTAGATTTTTCAAAGCACGATCTTCACAGAGATATTTCTTCAGAGATTCCTTCCCTTGGTGATGGAAATACCAGTCTTCTATGTCTCCTTCATTTTGTTCAAGAAGGGTTTCACACTGAAAAATAGAAAACTTTAAAAATATGATAGAATTGAGGGATGGATGAAAGTCCATTAAAACGAATTGAAAAAACACTTCAATGTGAGATTTCCACTTGAAATTTTACAAAACTGTGACATGTGTTTTGCTATACGATAGCATCCTGGGGCGTAACAATAATGTTTCTACAAATTATGTGAATATTACTTGATAAATTCATTACCTAAACTATTTACTTATCTAAGAACAACTCACAAGACCGGAGAATAACGAATAACAATTTTTAGCTGGGCTATCATTTTACCTACTTTTCAAATATGCCATTATTACCAATTTCCTCGTTGCAAACTAAATTCAATAAATATACAAAAAACAAAAAATATTGTGAGAAATTCTCTAAACAGTTTTACAAAATGGCAACACTTGTTTCGCCATAGATTGGCTTTTTCAAGCATGTCTTCATACAAAATTGACAAATACACCCAGCCGCTGGGCTGTACTAATAAAATAGACTAAGATATCACCTACATATCAGGCCGATATGTAGGAGTAGGATAACATCATATATCGCTAGATGTAGAACTGGTCAGTGTTAATGACCATAGCAGTCTATGCTGTTGACATTAAACAAAAGATAAAGTGATGATCACCTGTGTCTTCATATTTGTGATTTCTGCACTTGGTTTATCCCACAACTCATAAGGGATTCCCAATTCCACTTTGACTCCTTTATCAACCAAGCCATGTAGAGTTTGGAATGTTTGGCTCATGCCTTTGGCGAACCGTGTGCTGTCTTGTCTCTCTTTGTGAATGTTGTAGTTCAATATCCTTTCACAAACACCATCTAGTGACTCAACTAATCTCAGCTCCGACTTTTTATATTCCTTCTTTTTTTTTGGTTTTACATCATCAACGGCATATCCCGTTTCAATCACTTCACTTGTTTTTCCTGTTTCTTCCAGCCTTTCTTGGAGTTCAGTTGCAAGGATTTTGCATACTGGAAACAGTTTATGGTACATAAAAAATGAGAAGAAAGAAGGAAATCTATATATAACCTCACTATTTTTTGAAAACTACTTTGCAAAGATTTCAGCTGCAAAAAACTGAAACAATGAAAGGTGATGCAACATAGAACATTTTAAAGTAACTAATTTTACCTTCACATCTATCAGCATATTTCACACCATCATCATCTTCTGAATTCGAATGAATTTCTGCAAATGTGAAGAAAACCACAAACAAAATTCGATATATATTATTCATGTTTAATTTGGTGTAGGGATGAGATTCCAACTGGTTTTTTTATTCTGACTGAAACCTACAATATCATTGGAAGACGGAATTTTGATAAGATACCCAAATCATCAACGACCTTTAACATTACTACATTCAAAACCTCAGAGTTACCTAATGCAGATTTCAAGACTCAAGACACAATGTATAAATTTCACATCAACTTCAATGTATTCTCTATACACAATGATCATTTTCGAATTCAAAGTTGAAATGGGGTACTTTTCAGGACCTCACTGTATATGCACTAATATGATAAGACTTCGCTCCTGATTACATATAATTATTAGAGAGAACTTCGAAACCACTATGCGAGTTCTGTTTATGAGTACCTACTCTTCTTAACAGTGACGGCATATTATGGACTTGCTATTGAAGAGAGACCATTGATTCCAACAACTGAAATTCACGTCCTGTCATTTACGTCTCTCTCACTTAATGTCAATAAAACGACACGATGTTGTTGTTGCACATTTTATTTTGAAAATTTTGAGATTTGATCCGTCACACGGTGTTGTGGCGCAGTGGTCAAAGCGATATGTATTGCGCGGGTGAACGTCATGGGTAGTCTATATTTTCATGTCTATGAAATTTAAAAAGTCACAGAACACTCAGAAGGTGTCCACTTTCC